CCGACTGTCTCTGGAGAGGGATTGCATATTCCTATGTTTGATGGCTCATGCACTTGGGCTGCTTCAATAATAAAATGATTGTAAATAAACACAAATTGTATTTACTACCAAAGTCTTCATGTTTATGTATTCTCTATATCGACTAATATTTTAATGTAGAAGCCGTTCGAGTGCACAAACTCGCAGAAAGATTGAGTGCCGATAATCTATCGTTCTGTGAGTTTGTGCGCGGTAGCGTGCGTGTGCGGTGAAACTGTGGGTTGCGGAGGAGCATTTGAACAGAATTTACGGGGAATTATTAATGATAATAGGCAATATAAAGTAGACAAACATTAAGACCTCGATGCAATTCGTTTTTATTTACTATCATTTTATTGAAACTGCACAAATGTCTGTGCCTGGCAGCCCATGCCCCCACTGCTGCCCACTTCAGGGACGTATCTCACACGAACAAACACTGCATACAATTATTGAATTCGAAGTATTTCATTTGAATAGTGAAGATAGGACATCAATATATGAATACACTATTACTTTGGGTTTTTTTTAATTCTGAATGAAGGTTATTGAAATTAGTAAATACCTCATAATACCGAGATCTAATAACTATTATAGTAATTATTATAATTAATATAATAGTCTACGCTACACTGTAGTTCAGAAAAGCGTGTACAGGTAACTTTATAATTGGCTAACAAATATCCTACTATAGCAACTCGTACAAGCTAACGTATACATACATACGTAAATACATACATAAACTCTAGGTTTACCTACTTGTTAAAACGACAGACAATCACAAACATTTAATGACTTATAAGCTCAATTGTGAAAAGACGATCGGTATGTGCCGGACATGTAAAATTAACACTAGTGTGGTGTTAAAAATATATCGTATTAGAGATTTATACATAATAAATCGCTAAAACTGATTCACCTTGGGTGGTTTTGCTGTGTCTCGGGTGCTAACGCGGGGATGTTTAATGGACGGTGGCGGGATTGCTTCGTCTGCCAATCTACACGGCGAGGGGTGTAACACTAAGCTCTGTAGAACATATGTTCGCGCTCTCGCCGGGTTCCACATGTGCTGGGAATCCATACCATTCAATATGATCTCTCTTTCTCCCTCTCTCTCTCTCTCTCTCTCTCTCTCTTTCTCTCTCTCTTTCTCCCTCTCTCTCTCTCTCTCTCTCTCTNTGATATTACCATGCGTGCACGCATACATATGTATGATATTACCATGCGTGCACGCATACATATGTATGATATTACCATGCACGCACGCATACATATGTATGATATTACCATGCGTGCACGCATACATATGTATAATATTACCATGCGTGCACGCATACATATGTATAATATTACCATGCACGCACGCATACATATGTATGATATTACCATGCGTGCACGCATACATATGTATAATATTACCATGCACGCACGCATACATATGTATAATATTACCATGCGTGCACGCATNGTGCACGCATACATATGTATGATATTACCATGCACGCACGCACGCATACATATGTATGATATTACCATGCACGCACGCATACATATGTATGATATTACCATGCGTGCACGCATACATATGTATGATATTACCATGCACGCACGCACGCATACATATGTATGATATTACCATGCACGCACGCATACATATGTATGATATTACCATGCACGCACGCACGCATACATAATAATGCATAATATTACCATGCGTGCACGCATTCTCGCGTGATATCAGGGATTGCGCACGCGTGTACGCGTATAGTAAATTGCTAACATGCGACTCGCGCATGCATAGATCAACTTCCCATCGGCTTTCTGTTTTCTTCGACCATTAAAACCACGTGAAATAGCTGCAAACGTAAGACTCGCACTCGCTCGTGGGCGGTCTCTCTCTATATAGCAGTGCCTGGCCGCCCGTTGTCCGCGCCACCGCTACACACATCCACACAGCAGCAGCCGAATATATGCGAGCCCGCGAAAATATATCCCTGTAATCCATCTCGCATAGTATCCCACGCGGGGCTTGTAGTAGGTGTCGTTCTTTCCTAATCATTTCTAACGGGCAATGTTGATGCGCGCGCATATAAGGCTATGACGCCACCCGCACACTGGCTATTCGGTGACACGCATAAACAGAGATGTATAAATACGCACGCACATACGCGCATATGCAGCCAAACAGCGGTTTCCTTTGACGGCGGCGGCATATGGGGAACGATAAAGCCTTAAAATGTTTATCCGCTGAGTGGTGCAAATGTAAATCGAACTAAATATTAAAGCGAGCAAGCTTTTTAGAAGGGCATCATACGGGATCGTGTAACAGGCATTGCGTCAACAACGCAAGCGATCTGTCAGATCAAGAGCTTAGAACATCTGTCGCTGGCTGCCTTGCTGCCCCCCTGCCTCCCTCTCGCGCGCCCGCGCCCGCACCCGCACCCGCACACCGCACACACACTCTTCTCATCGCTTCTCTCATCTCTCTCTCCTCTCTCTCTCTCTCTCATCTGCTCCTCATCTCCATCGCTCCTCTCTCTCTCTCTCTCTCGCTCATCATCTCTCTCTCTCTCTCATCTCTCTCTCATCTGTCTTTCTCTCTCTCTATCCTCTATCTCTTCTATCTCTCTCTCTCTCGTCCTTCTCTCTCTCCTCTCGTCTTCTCATCTCTCTCTCTGTTCTTCTCTCTCTCTCTCATCCACTCTCTACATCTCTCATATCTCTCTCTCAATATATATCACGACCCTTCTCTCTCTCTCATGTCTCTCTCTCTCATCATCTGTCTGTCTCTCTCCGTCTGCTCTCTACTCCGTCGCATCTCACATCTCTCTCCTTTCCCCTTTCTCTCTCTTCCTCTCTCTCTCTCCTTTCCCCCTTCTCTCTGTTCCTCTCTCCCTCTCTTTCTCTCGCCGGCTGCAGCAAACTGTTGCAGCTTCTTCGGCGGCGAACGAGTAGCTAGTGGATGTATATATCTGCTACCGCGCGTGCGTGCGTGCGTGCGTGCGTGCGTGCATGCATGCGGGGCAACAGCTCTGCATCTGCGCGGATAACATCAACACGCCATGCACGCCGCTGGTTTCAAATCGTTGCTTTGTCAGTGAAACATTGCCGCGCCGGAGATTCCGCCGCTGTTTGAGATTCCCCCCCCCTCCGAAAGTTTCCCTGCATCCGTTGCTATTACGGCTAAACTCCGCTCTCTCGTTGCTGTTTACCGCTGCGCACGCGAACAAAAACAAGCAACAGTGGAGAGAAAGGGAACGAGTGTTATTTGTGAATGCCGAAGTGTGTGTGTGTGTGTGTGTGTCCGACGGAAATCACAGACGTCCGAGTCCTCTGCGAACACAGGGCGTTACGTCATGACGGTAAACACTCGCATGTTCGCCGCCGGACATGCAGCGGTCACCACAACGCCATCATTGTGCCGCTCGCACGCACACCACGCACGCACACACGGATGTTCGACCCACAAACAGCGATTCGCTGACGGGGGACACACACACACACATGCTCTCTCTCTCAGGTCCAGCGAACGCAAACACACACGCGCACGCAACAAATACAAACATTAAGTGCCGCGCACTACGTCGCTACACGCCGGCGCATCACCGCGTGGAGACGGACTGCGGGTGTAACATCCCGGCTGCTGCTGCTGCCTGCATGCATGCATGCGCCGGAGACTAGCATGGTGGTGGTGTGTGTGTGGGGGGGGGGGGCCAATGCGGTAGAGTATAGCCGCTGTCCAATTACAGCTCAGCATGTAGCGCACTAGGCGATATCCCTTCAGCGCGTCACCCTATCCTCTGCAATAACATCGGGTACCATGGGACTCCCGTGGCGAAAACATGAGAACACACCAAAATAAAGCCTCCTCTGAGTTTGCAGAATGGATTCCCCGTGCCTCCCCGAACCTCTCCTCGCGATATCGCCACTTATTTATTTATCGCTGCTGCTGCCGGCGTCGGAGCAGCTCCCGCGCGAGGTGATAACATCTTATAAATCGATTACCCATCGACGGATCTCGGCCGCGGATCGCGAAGATGCGTTCAAGATGGCGGACGATCGAAGTCTAAACTGTCGTTAAACACGAGCTGTTATTCCCACGAAGCGTGTTAGCGTTGATGATGTGCATGCGGCTGCAGTTAATGACTTACACTTGTGCGCCCAATTACAGAACTCGTTGTGTGCGATGAACAGGGTCAATTCGCACACACGCCTCTTCCTCACTGCCGGGAAAACAATAAATACACTGTTTCCGCCTCCGCTGTTACTCGGCCGTGAGATTTCTAAAACGCATTTATTACTACCAATAATACTTGGTTTACAAGCTGCGCGCATGTATAGTGCATCATATTTAAAAGACTACGGGTTACGTGTACTGGACGAATGGTGATTAATACCAATGCTAATTATTATTTTCGTAAAATATAATTAGGTAGGTAATATTTATAATCATTCGGAAAAACAGAGGGAAAATAGCAATACGAGCATATAAACAGACAGACAGACGGACGAACGAACGGACAGACGGACGGGTGGATGGACGGACGGACGGACGGACGGGCGGAGACACACACACACAGACAGTGAAGGGGTAGGGGGGAGGGGTTCCAGACGCAACGAGAGACATAATATACCGGCTCACTCTAATGAAAATGTGCCGCTTCACCATTCCAGCCATAAAACTGTTTGCCCGGGGGAGCGCCATATAAAGCGCATGTATAAAGTAAACCATACACGCACGAACATCTCAAGCTAGAGAGCGCGCGGCGCGGTGTGCGTGTTTTGAGAACGCCGCTTTGTTGCCTCGCGCAGCCGATCTGCCGAGAATTCCTGCGTCTCAGAGGGGCGCCCGTTATCTATCCGCTTGTTAGTATATCTTTGCGAGCGACTGAAAGCCCACACCGGGTTTACTAGCGAACGATCAAGAGCAATACACGCAGCATCCAATCGGATGCTTAGCCGGTGAAACCGTGCACCGGCAGTCGGCGCTGGCACGCACGAATGAAGACATCGTTTAGGTGTCGTGCTCCGTCGCCTCAGACACTCATATAGCTAGTTATACACTCGTACTCAACTCGAGGCAGCGCTCTCAGCAAAGGTTTCCCACGTATGTGTGTCCCGTAGGCGCGGAAGCCGCACGGAGAGAGAGAGGCTGGGTGCGTGACGGACGGACGGCAGCATTTCATCCATCGTCAACGTCTACGCGGTAGACACCGTTATTCGAGTATTTGCTTCGCGGGGATTCGGTGTGTTTGCTGGTGTTAGTGCAGGTTTATTGTGACGTGACGCGAAATCGTGAAATCCGTTCGCTCTGTATCGATACCTGTATACTGGTACGCGTTCTTTGCGAAATAAACCAGAGAAGAGGCGAGAGAGAACAGGACAGAGATTCAAGAATACCCCGCGAAAGGGAGAGAAAGGGATAGAGAGACAAGGAGACAGAGAGGTATAAAATGAATAAATAAGTGATAGTCAGTGAAAGAGAAAGAGAGAGAGAGGAAGAGAGAAAGAGTTAAAGTGAGTGAGTGAGAGAACGGGAGAATCAGGCCGTGACTACATCACCGCATGAACGCGAACAGCGCATGAGAGAGCGCCGGACAAGGACCACCGTCACCTATCATCGTTCTTACGGATCATTGTGACTACCACCCCGCAACTTACGTATCGAAGAATCGATCGCATCATCGATACTAATAAATCTAAGCGATTACGACGCAGAGATACGCCCGTACGAACGTCGCTTCTCCGTGGGACCTGTCCTTCTTAATCAAACTCACGTACGAGTCATAGCTACGCGACTAACGTATATATATATATATATATATATAGTATAGTTACATACTAGCGTATGTAACACGTCAGCGTACGTTATACAGTAGGAGCTATAGAAGCGCGCGGGGGGGGGCAGCAGCGACCCTCCATCACTTACAGGAGTACATCTACATCTACATCCTTCTCGCCATGGTGCAGACACCGACATGCCACAGCCATGCAAGCTGCTCACGCCACGTGAACGCTTACTGAACTCTCGGCGAAGCACCACGGCCGACGATAGATCGCTTCCATCCGTCGCTGCATGCTGACGATGTCATATCTACAGCTTGCTGTCCTCCCGTGCGTCTAAACACGTCGGATAACACACCGCAACGAATACTAAGGTAATCTAACAATATAAAACTAAGGTAATTAACGCATTTCGCTAATTAAATAGAGCGTCGATGGGGGGGGGGTGATACGCAGTATAGTCCTCATATTGTCAGGAGTATTATAAAAGTGAATAACTAAGTAGTGATGATCAGTAATAAGTAATGACTTATAAATAATAATTATATTAAGGAGCTAAAAGTAAATTAAACAATATTTTACTTCTCGACAACGTCGTTCTAGTGTGATATCTTTTGAATAATGGAGATTATATGTTATAAATTAGTTTTATTTATTATTATTCATATTATCAGGAGTAGATAATATAATCTTCTATTATCTACTCCTGATATTATATATTAGTTTAGATTTAGCTAACGTTCAAGAGAAACACCGCCCAGAAAGAGTGGTTTCTTGAATTTACATACATTCGTATTTCTTACTTCATGATGAAAGCAATTCAGGATGAAATTTTCATCATGATTTTGTCGCCGGTTTCGTTTTGAGGCATAATATCGGTTTATTGTACTAAATCGGTTTATTTATGTTATTCAGGAATAGTATATTTTTTTAAATATTAATTCTCTAGAAAAAAATAAAACGGCAATGAGATGCTATTTGAAAGCGTTTCGTTTTGAAATTGAACTGTTAGTTGTGAATTCGGATTGTTTTCCTGTTCTTTCGGTTAATTGTCTGTATTTTATAAAGGACGAGATTACCATGTAATAAATTGCTATGCGAATAAACTTAACATAAATATTTACCCTACGAAAAATATATTAGCTTATTTAATATTCCAATAGTTATCTATCTACTACCAGTATCTATTTATCGATTTATTCATCGATATTACTCCCGAATGACTCGGGAGCAAAATACTGTATTGTAAATCTACGGATGTAGATAAACGTTAGGCCATGTTTTACTCACTAATAATTTATATATATATAAACAGTGGATTTCATTTTTGCATGCGCATATAATAAAATATTAAATAGTGGTAACCTGAACCTAAACTGATTAAATTATTGAAATTTGATTAATTAAATATATTCCATAAATATTATATTATATATAAAATAAACACACAAATATTTGTATGTATAAGTATATTTAATATGCATGCAAACGTGTAGCATAATCATTATAATTATGTCTATATTTATTTTTATTTATTTATTTATATTCTCATTGATAAATTTCCACTTAACCTACACTACATACACAACCGTGATTTTTAGTTTGAGCAGAAACGTCGCATAAGCTTTCTTTCGTCACTCATTCTATGTAAAATCAGGCTGAATTGTAATATATATATATATATACATATAATTTAGCAGGGTACAGCTAACTGTCATGACTAACATCTTGGAACAGAGGAATATTACCAAGAGCATATAAAGAAGGAAGAATATATATATATCTCTTTAGGATATACCCTTCTTTATATGCTCTTGATATTACGCATAATCTTCCAGCCAGCCCGCCGGTAGTGTATTACGGACTCACGCAAATACACGGCGAAGGAAGATTTATCTACGTAAAGCTTATATCACTAACAGTGTTAGTAGTATATAT